ACAATACTGTTCCAGAGTGGGCATAGGCCCCCTCCACTCCTTGGGGGATGCCTTCAGCATACAATGGATGACACCCCTAGCATATGCATTTCCACCGTTTCCCTCGATATAATGGGTGAGCCTCAAGATCAGACAGGACAGGGCCAGAGTATCCTAGTAGCACCCAACCAGCCAGACAAACGTGATACCCACACCTCTTACAGATGAGCTATCGGCCACCCCATCAGTTCCCACCAATCACATCTCTGCTCATGCAGAAAAATGGTCAGATACCCCATCCCACTATCCACACATTGTATCTCCAGGCATGGATGCTGGCTGATTAAACTCCATGGAAAAGACCTTCCCAGAATCAGTGCAGGTTATCCTCACAAATTCCAGAAGACCTACAATGAGAAAGACATATACTCAGAAATGCTTCATGTCTGGTGTATGACCCATACCTATGAACCTGCTCACATGGGAGTATCACAGATTCTTCAATACCTATTAGACCTGCCCAATGCAGGCCTTTCCCTGAGCTCCCTAAGGGTACATCTTGCCTCCATTTCCGCTCTCCATGACCTCCTACAAGGACACTCGGTCTTTACGCATCCCCCAAAAGGTTTATACAGGGGCTACATAACGGCTACGTCTACACTGGCCCCTTTTCCGGAAGGGGCATGTAAATTTCACGAGTCGTCGTAGGGAAATCCGCGGGGGATTTAAATATCCCCCGCGGCATTTAAATAAAAATGTCCGCCGCTTTTTTCCGGCTTTTAAAAAAGCCGGAAAAGAGCGTCTAGACTGGCCCCGATCCTCCAGAAAAAGCGCCCTTTTCCAGAGGCTCTTATTCCTACTTTGAAGTTGCTTCCCTAAGAGTACATTTGGCAGCAATTTCAGCCTTCCACGCTCCAATAGAGAGTTTTTCCGTCTTCTCTCATCCACTTACAAAGAAGTTCTTTAAGGGTATTTCCAATCTCTACCCACCGCATAGGCCTATCTCAGAACCATGGGACCTTACCCTCATACTGGACACTCTTACCTGTCCACCATTTGAACCACTTGCAACTTGTGATTTACAGACTCTCACTATTAAAGTTGCCTTTCTCCTTGCGATCACTTCAGCCTGACGAGTCTCCGAGCTCGCGGCACTCTCCGCCGATCCTCCCTATACAGTATTCACTCAACAGGGCGTCTCACTGAGATGTCACCCAGCCTTCGTGCCAAAGGTTAATTCGTCATTCCACGTCAATGAGCCTATGGTCTTTCCTACCTTCTACCCCAAGCCACATGCTACACCTGAGGAAGCCCGTTGGCACACATTAGACGTCAGAAGGGCGTTGGCATTCTATTTAGACAGAACGCGTTCCTTCCGGAAGTCTCCACGATTACTATTATCACTGGCGACCCGCTCTAAAGGTCATCAACTGTCGTCACAACATATATCGTCGCATATCGTTAACTGCATCACTTTCTGCTACACCCTCAGGGGCAGGCCCCTACCCTGTCCACCAACAGTGCACTCAACCAGAAGTATGGCTGTTTTCTATCCCATCTCGCTCAAGCGGTCAACTTTTAGCAGTGACCACATTTCTGGGGGATGTGGCCCTCTCCTAGGCAGCGAATGCAACGGGAGTGGCCATCAGAGACGGGCATGGCCTCTCCACACGAAGCACATTTCTTAAATCCCGGAGAGCCGGGCATGTCTGCTGAGGAGGTCTCCGGGGAAAGATCAACTTGAGGGGCTCACCGGAGCGTGCCTCAGACTTTATAACGGGAGAGGAAATATATATAATATATTTTTTTTTTTAAACTATCAACTACTAACTAACTAATCTAAGCAATAACTGACTAACACTAAGTAGGAAGGGGCTAACTGGGAAAGAATATCTAAATATATCAATGCGATTTCTCCTCAGGAGAGGAGCGTGTTCCAAATCCGTCTGCGGCCGTGGACGGTTAGGAGGAACTGGCGGGTCGGACCGTGCGACGCAGAAAAGGCGCGAAGGCCGCGGGACGCTCTGCACATGCGCGGTCCTCCGGAGGGGGCTACTGCTAGCAAAAACTTTCCGGTTTGCGGCGCCGGGACGAGCCCGACACCTGTAGTGGAGCACCCACGGGGACACACATCTCGAAGAACAGATGTTACTGCACAAGGTGAGTAACAACTTCTTACCACACAGGTGAGTAACTTTCCCTTCTTACAAAGGAAATGGATCATACAGCAAGCTGCCACTGTAAAGGTGATGTTGTGCTCGCTGAGGTCCAGATGGGTGAGGCCCAGATGGCCCCTTTCAATAGCCAAATGTACACTAACACTATGCGGCACCTGCTCAGCCTGGCATTGAAGTGCTCTTCGGTGGGGTCCAGGTGCCCCATGTAGGGCTTCATGAGCCAGGTGAGCAAGGAGAAAGCTGTATCACCCAGGATCACTATAGGCATGTTCACCTCACCAACTCTGATGATTCAGTTAGGAAAAAAGTGCCAGCGTGCATGTTTTGGAACAGGCAGGAGTTCTGAAAGATGCAGGTATTGTGCACCTTCCCCAACCAGCTAACATTGACATCAGTGATTCATCCCTTGGGATTCACGAGGGCCTGCAGAACCATGGAGAAGTACCCCCTCCTGTTTATGTAGTCTGAGGCATAGTGTTCAGGATGGGGATGAGAGTGCCATCTATTGCCCCCCACCCCTGCTGTTGAGGAAGCTCATGGCGGCAAAGCCAGCAATGATGCTGTTCACGTTCCCCAGAGTGACAGCCCTCCAAAGCAGCACCTAGTTAATGTCCTTGGCTACCTGCAGGAACACGGCCCTGACTGGATTTCCCCACAACAAACTGGTTCCAGATGGAATGGTAGATGTCCGGGGTGGAGAGCTTTAAAGGTGTGATGGCAACGCACTTCTGTATGAGGATGACAGATTGTATGCAGCTGTCTTGTCTCCTGAGGGGTAGGGTGAGGCACTCACAGAGCTCAAGGAAGGTGGCCTTTTGCATGTGGAAGTTTTGCAGCCACTGCTGGTCATCCTGTAGCGCAGGACGATGCGGTCCCACCAGTCCTAACTAGTCTCCTGCCGCCAGAAACAGCATTCTGTAGTGTCGAGGGGATTGAGGGTGTGTGCAGCAGCAGGAGCACGAAGACCTGGTGATCAAGGCCTGTAGTCCACACTTGGGTTTATGCTGCAGGTCCTGGTTCTTGTCCTTCTGGAGCAGCATGTGGGCAGTCTGGATGAACTGCACCATGAGGCGCAGCATGAGGCCTGTGAACCTAGCACTGCTTTGTAACAGTTCTAGTCCCATGCTTTGAGTGCTGTGGCATCTGCAAGGGCAACCAGAGCACACTGTATCCTTCCAAGCGGGGATTCAGTGGAGGAGTGGCACTTGAGACGCGGCGATAAAGTAGAGCCCCTGAAAGCACGCAACGCAGTTTGCCTCACCAAGCAGTAACCGGAAGTTTCTGCCCTCCTGTGTCTTCCCCAGTGTGCTCTAAGCCCGAGGCAGACTCCAATCAGTGTGGACATGCTATTTCGAAAGAATTCTAATTTTGATGCTTCCCCATAGTGGGGACATACTATTTTGATTTTGTCAAATTGGGAGTTATGTCGAATTTAGTTATTTTGAAATTCCTAGCATAGACATGCCCTTGTTGCTAGAGCTGACCACAGTGACTACTCTCAGTATCACGTCCCTCCTATCTGTGCCTCTCTCTGTCCCTTCCCTTTCCATGTTATGGAAAATAGTCCCAGTCTTGGCACTTCCCATTTTTTAGGCATAATGTGGTTCAAGTTAGGGTAAGAGGAATTTGCATACCAAATTTGGTGGTCCTAGCTCTTACAGTTTAGGAAGAGTTCTTGAACAGACTCACGGATGCACAGACAACCGGACTCACAGACTAACAGACACACAGTAAAATATGTATAGATTGTCCATTAAATTATAAAAGTCTAGTGTAACCCCTCCCTATAAATTGAAGTTATGAAAATTAAATGGAACTTTATCAAGATTAATTGGCTTTAATGGTGGCCTACCCTCAATGTTTGTTTTAGCGGTACTCCTTTATATACATTTTGAAACAAATATTCAGTAATTTCTAAAAACTCAGTAACAGGAATTTAGCAGTAAATTTGCAACCATTAATCAGCTATAACAATATGAGTTATATTTTGGGAAATATTTTGGGTAAGAAAGGAAATAGTTTGGGTAAGAAAAAAAAAACTCGTTTTATATTTTCATAGTAATTGTGAAAATGTGGTAAAATGTCAATTTTTTTAAAATAGTTTTTAATTTTAATCCTGGCTTTCCCCTGGTCAATATATATTGCCCTTCCTGAATAACTGATTACAAGTTACCTCCATTCACTATAGGGTTGAATAAAAGAAAGACTATAACAGACACAGTTACTACAGTCTATACATTTGAGTCCTGCAAACTGGAATAAATGGTGACCAAAGCCCAACCTATAACAAGATGACGGTATAAGGTGTTGGAAATGGGTCTTAAATTTGTCTTGAGTGGATGTCTACACATCAATTAAATATTTTGGCTGGCTCGGGTAAGCTTACTCATGCTTGTGGAGTGCTCAGCCTGTTGGGCTGTGAAACTGCTCTGTAGAAGTCTGTGCTTGGGCTGGACCCTGAGCTGTGGGATGGGGAAGAATTCTATGATGGGAGAGAGTTCTAATGCTCAGGCTCCAACATGAGCCCAAATGTCTTCAAAGCAATTTCTAGCTCCATGAGGCTGAGTCAGCTGACCTGGGCCAGCCATGACCATGCTGTGAAACTTTTATTCCAGTGTAGATGTACCCTAAGAAACAGGGATGAGAAAAATTGGATGATCTTCATTATAGCATTCAGAGAGGCACCTGTATTATCATTTACTTCTATTGTGAGTTTTTAAAATATGTTTAGTTTGTCTTAACTTTAAAAAATATTGATATAGCTGAAAAAAATTTATGAAAATGCAAAAGACATATAAAAATACCAGTGTGTTTACTTATTCTGTGACCCTTCAATGATTACAGGAGGAAGACTTAAGAAGAGAAGTAGATACTATTAAAAATGAGCTGGTATCACTTAATGAAACTTATGCACATCTCCAAGACTTCTACCTTCCTCAGAAAGATCAACATACTGAGCAAGAGGAAAATCTTGAGGTAAAAATAAGGAGCGTTTAATGGTTGAAAAACTTAATATTTCTTGTAAATATCTCAGTGAAGAAGAGATGCTTTGGCAATGTTCGCAATCTTGTGAATGCCACTTAATCTAAGCAATTTAAACCTCTGTTTTGCTATATTTAGTCATTTCTCCAACATAATGAGCAAGGGACAGTCTGAAATTTACTGAACCTGTGGTAGGTTTTTCCCTGCTGGTTAAGCCACTTCTGTCCCTCCTTTTGGATCCAGACAATGTTCTGGAAGCATAGATGGCTACAATAGAAGAAAACACTCAACTAGAAATATTTGGCTAAGTGGAAGCCTCTATTTGGTCTCAAAAGAAACGTGTCTCCCCCAAATGAACACCCATGGACCTCATACCAGACTATATCCTAACTCAAACAGAATTTGGCTATTATCTCTACAAGGGTGCATCTAGTAGTTATTTTGACCTCTCTCATCTGGGCAGATAACTGATCCCTTTTTTCTAACTCCACCATCACCGAATTTGTAAAGGGTTTGGCCAGATTGTGGCTTTAAATATGAGAACCAATCATTTGGGGTCATATGATGAATTTCTGCCCTCTTTAGTGACCAAGCCTGTAGATTTTATTTACTCTATTTCCTTTGAAAATTCTTCTAATATTTACAGCATGCAGAGTTGCCATCTGAAAAACCTAGTAGTCAAACAACTTTCCTACTCTGTATAGCTTGTGGGTCTGATTCTTTGCTTATGTATACCATTGTCACTCCATTTAATTTAAAAGAATGACTCCTGATTTACTAACCTGCTGTAAAAAAAAATTGCATCAGAGACTCCCTGTTAAATCGAATCCGAAACTTTGATAAGTAACTTGAATATATTTTATTATCTGTAATTAATATGTTAGCTTTTTTCCCCATTTTATGCCAGAATGGTCAAGAGCAACTTAAAGGCAACAAAATACAGACTAGTCAGAAAGAAAATGAGTATATGCAATCTACAATAAAAAATTATTGTATTTCTGGTCATGAAGAGGATGACAACATTGAAATAAAGAATATTGTAGGCTGCTCTTCAGATACTGATAAAGTACAGACTGAACAAAGTAATGGAACTGGATGCATAGAAGAGACATACAACATTGTTACCAAAGGTATAAATAATCACAAATATGATTATGTAGATTGCATATACATGATGAGTGCGATTCAGTGCCCAAAATCAAATTCTCTCAGTGCATTAATGAATTCTTAGTTTTAGTAGATGCCAGTTTGTGTAAAGTACACAAAAAGCTCTGAGTATAAGCACAATCTTTCCTGGAATAGCTTACCTCACTCAGGGAAGGGTTTGCATGCTCCATCATTCCTTTCAGTGCAGTGTATTCTATGTGCTAATGTGAAGATGGGTCAGGAGAAACATGCTTGTCCCCACTTCAAGTACAGGAGTATTAGGCGAGACACACTTCCTATCTGTATGCCCTTGCAGGAGATAGGCACATACTAACTCAAAATGTAATCGTGTAATTACTAGTCCATTCAGGCCATGTCCAAACACTTGTCTACTACATAGCTCCCCAATTTATATTTATTTTTACTTTTTTGAACCTGACCACAAAATGGTACTTATCTGAACCCAGCCTCCAAAATGACAGCAATGCAAAGTCAAAACAGCAAGACCTTCTTAACTAGATGGTGGTGTTGAGGAGCGACAGGTCCCCCGAAGCCCCTCAACTTTATTCTCTTGATTGAATGACCTTACAACCGCCAAGTCTATTTACCACATGGCCCAGTGGCCTCAGTCAATATAAATATCCCTGTACGCAGGTTATTACAGCCCAGTGGCCTCAGTTAATGTACCTGCCCCTGCATTCAGAGTCTTATGGCCCAGTGGCCTCAATCAATGCGTCTGCCTCCTATAGCCAGGGTATAATGGCTTGGTGGCCTCAGTCAATATGCACTGGTAAAGCTCCCCACACTCAGGGATATGTAAGGAGGGGGACCCAGGCCCTCCCTCTCCACTGGGTCCCAGCCCAGGGCCCTGATGGCAGTGGTGCAGTCCACTGCTCAGTCAGCAGGGAATCCTGCCACAACACACTGAACGCCTGGGGAGTAATTCCCTGCCCTGGGCTACTTCCTTCCAGATCCTGGCAGACGTCTTCCTTGTACGCTCACTCCAGTCCTGAGGCTTCTCTTGTAGCACCTCTTGGCCAGGATGCTGCTGCTTGGGCTTCCTTCCCCTTCAGCAGTCAGCCCAGACTAAGCTGCTCCAGAAGCCTTTATAGTCAGTCTCTAGTTGGAATATGCCCATCAGGTCTGTGGGGGTGGGACCTTCTCAGCCAGCTGGGCTAAGGTAACAGCATCAGCTGCAGTGCAGGGTTGATACACCCCATCACAAGTGGTTTATTGAATCTTCCCTTTTCTTGTTAACTAATAATGTTTGTAGTGTTGGCCTAGTGGAGCTCTTTCACTTTACTGCGAACCTGCTCAAGGTTCCTGATATGACCCTTTGTGGCCAGGCTCTTGGCCATGCGACCATATATATCAGCATTGTGCCATCTGGAGCGGACATCCTGGAGGTTCTCCTCATCACCCCACACTTCCAGGAGGACCAGGATCCTTGCCCCAAACTAGGACGGCGCATGCCTCTTATGGCCCCTGGCAGGCTCCTGGGAGCCCTCTGCATGCTCCCTGCGATGGGCAGGAGGCTCTTGGGGGGTTCATGGCTCAGACATAATGCCTGATGTGTGGACTGTGAGTTGTGTTGTGGCTGGAGGCTCTGAGGGCCAGCTTTCTACCACAAGCCCTGTCCCCTGTGTCTGCAGCTTTAAGAGCTCCAGGGGAATGGGAACTATAGAATTCTGATGGGTGTGAACGGAGTAGTCAGTAGGGCACCTGTGGGATTTCCTGGAGGCCTCTTTTTTCGACAAAACTCCTTAAGGACTTTTTCCTTGAGGCCTTATTCCTCGTGGAATGAGTGTTGGAAAAAGCCATCTGTTATTTCAACTTTCTTTCAAAATAACGCAGTAGCAGTGTGGATGCTAGTATTCTTTTTCCAGAATAATGGCCGTTATCCCAGAAAAATGGTGCATTGTAGATGCATCCTAAGCTGCGTGGCAGCACAGCCTCACAGCCGAGCTTCTGACCAGGAGGGGCTGATTAATCACCTGTGAAGCTGTGCTGATGCGCAGCTTAGAGGAAACACTGGGCACAACCCACTTCTTCAGATGAATGGAGCAAAGGGTCCAAATGTACAAATAAATAGCAGAAAAAGAGGGGAGGTGGGAGGGGGGAAGTGTCAATTAAAGTGTCCTTGCTAAATGAGGCTAATAGAGTGGGCTGTATGTGCCTGATGCTTAGCTTATGATATTATTTGGGCATTGAATATAATGGCGCATCCAAGAAACGTCTGACTAAATGTGTCGAATTTGCATCCGAAGGCTAGTTCCAGTGTCTCTCTCTCCAGTTGGTTCCTAGAATTACTTTGTAAGAGGATAGCCACTTTTAAATCCATTAATGGCTGCCCCAGAAGGGTATCTAGCAGTATTACCAACACTTCTACTGCTTACTGGCTCTTGGAAGACATTTGGGGTAAATTAGAGTAAAATAACAGTGAAGAACACTGAGAGCCAGGACTGGTGGCTGTAAATAAACTTCATGGAATCGTGGGAAACTTGATCACACCCATGATAAGTGGACATCTGGCTAACTAATCATATTGGACAACAGACGTTGCTAGACCAGAGAGTGTTGAACTAGAGAGGTTCAACCTATATATTGTTTTCTGTTTGAACATTATAAATATTTTGTAAATTGCATAAATACAATATTTGCCTCTGGGAACATTCTGATATTTAGAAAAATTGTAACTATTTCACATATGAAGACAATGAACATTAATGAAAATATAATAAATATTTGTGAATTGCATTTAGCAACAAAAAATAATTAAGTTTCAGATATTTTTGTCATGAATTATATTATTTTTCATTTTAATAGATTTACAGCTTCCTAAAAACAATAAGGATGAAGTTCATGTTGCTAGCCCCTGTAAAGAAAAGCAAAAGGAGGCTTCTCCAGCCAAAACATTATGCACAGATATTGATTTAATTACTCACGAACAGACTACAGAACTGTGTGTTGCTGAGTGCAAAAAGATAGGAAAAACAGGTCAAATAATCTCAGAAATAAATTATGCAAGTGCAGAACTAAAGCTACAGGACAGATCTTGTGCATTGATAAAACTCCCAGCAAACACAAGAAAGATGCTCCTTGACAATACTGAAGAACTTGATGTCTGCAGTATGGATGCAGGTCCACAGAGAGATTCCAGCAAGCATTCATTTTTCAATGCTTCAGATAAATTCATTTATAATGCAAGTGATAAGTCAGATGCCACGGAGGATGGCAAAGGCATCTTTATAAATGAAGCACCCAGCAAAGACTCTAGACAAGTTATTTGCATAGAAGACAGTCCTGGAACTGAAAAAACTGCAGACAACAACCAAACCAAGACTGAATTTAATATTGCCATCCTGTCTCAAGTTACAGAGAGTAATCATGCAAAGTTTCAGAAATGTGACTTACAGGAGTCTAATGACACTTTAGATAATAAACATGGAAAAACAGAACAAGTCCATCTGTTAAATCAAAGCACCAGCAGCATATTCTCTGGTATATTTCTATTTAAGGAGATTCATATAGATATTCAAGAGAAACACAACAGTGACACTGCAAGAAATACTAATGGAAACTGTGCACTGAACAGTACTTGTAATAGTGGTCCTCCAGTTCTGCCTACTACTTTCTGTAGTAATGAAAGTGTGAATACTGACAATACTAAAGAAAATAACACTAGTATATCTCAGTTAGAGAATATCAGTTCAAGTACTGAAAAAACAGATAAATGGATACATCTGAATGATATGCATAGCATGCAAAGTGAGCAGGACATTTCTGGACAGACAGAAAGCAATATAAATACGTATGTATGCACAGATGTTATTTTGCCTCTGAAGACTGAAAATATATGCATTTCTCAGACTATTCCTCAAAAACAAACAGTTAGAAACAAAATTACCACTGATAAACAAATGCCCCATGGAAAAGTTTATGTAAATGCTTTTCAGATACCCAAAATAAAGGATGGCCTTGTGATTAATGATAACCCAAAGGAGAATACACTGCTAAGAGAAAAAAGAGAGTTATTAAATAGTCCAGTTCCAGGAGAGAAAATTGCTGATGATCGCCTAGAAGAATCATGTTCTTCACTCATAAGGACATCTGGAGATTTAGTAACTAGAAGTGGAAGGTCATCCTTTGATCTCGCAACTTCAGATAAAAAAACTGAGAAAGCTCCAGTAAACTTAAGTTTTTCGGATCTTAGTCCTTGGTTGAGAATAAATCAAGTTGAAAGTCAAACAATGTGGGCTTCAACTTCCGAAAGGCCTTTCCATTTGAAAGAGAAACTACTATGTGTACCAGAAAACAAAAAAAATCTTTCAAAAAAAGAGGGTCAAAATCTGAGCATGAATGTGGTCATGAAAGAAACAGGACTAGGTAAGAGAAATAATTATTTACATTTTAAACTACAAAAGTAACATAATAGAGAATATGTATGTAAGGAAAAAATAAATATGAAGCTCTCTATTCAATATAAAGTAGTATCAGAAAGGAAAAATGTAAACCTTTGATAATTTTAACTATTATCTCTGAAACAAATTTGGCCCCCTAAGATGGGAGATATCTCAACTAACACATTATAGATGCAACTTAGTAACCTGTTCTGTGTTTGTTCTATGAGCTGAATACATAAACTTTATCCCTTCCCTCCTTTTATAAAACAAAATCAGTGCCGGGATAACTAAATTAATTCATATAGCCATTTGTATAGCAATCAATATGAACACTGCTCAAAGACTTAGACTTCAGTTGTGCATCATGGCTCCCTAGAGTAGATAGCTGCATCCATGCTAATGGAGTCTGATGCAAGTGGGGCCCCAATCATAAAGACTATGCACAATACAACTTGGAAGATAAGTGTGTGATCATAGGAAGTATCGAGCATCTCTTGGAAAGTATTCACTGTCCTCAGCTCTCTCAGAAATCAGACTTAGTTGTGGGTGTCACAGTCCCTTGCTTCTCCCTTCCCTCCTTTCCCCCGCCATGCTTTATGAAAAGGACTTATGAACAAAAATATACATAACTCAAAGATGCTTGGGACAAATTGCTTCATGTAACCTATCAACCTATCAATCTTCATGTCTTAATCTGCTGGATATGTTTATCTTATTATGGTATATGTGTCATTCTTATTTTCTATCAAACCCAGAGTAAATAATTATTACTTGGGGGGGCAATCAGTGTGTACATTCCCCCTTTTGTTGTTAAAGGGAGCCTACCTAAATAACTCATTTGAGGGTTTGATCCTCTTTGGGGAGTGATATTCCAGGAAGCTGGGCCCAAAACTGCATTTTCCTTGGACTTTAAGAGATTCAATGACTGCCTTGATTCTTGGAGGGGGGTGGGGAAGCTATGATTCTCATCTCTGTACCTTGGGTAGGGGAGACCAGGGAGCTGGCCCAGCAGCATAGGGTGGTGAGAAGCCCCAGAGAGCAAAATGGAGGGTGGCAGTGGCCTTGTCAGCACCCTGGGAATACCCCCAAGGGGTCATCTGTGACCACCCCATCACAGTGGGGTGCACCATGCCTCTTGGAATGGAAACCAGAAATAGTTTGTTTGGTTATATTAACATACATCATTAACCCGGATGAACACATTCACACCCTAAATACACAGATCATGGCAAAAAAATGAGAAGGGAGAAGATTCTTCCCTTTGATTCTTTTGGAAAGAAAAACAGATGTGCCCATTAGACGCACATACTTTAATGGTTTTATTTTTAACTTCTATTGTGACAATTTGGTGATTATTTGCTGAACTATATTATGATATGAGCTTTGTTATAAACATTTATGAACTTACTTAGGTAAAATGTGAAAAAAGCATACATCATAGATTAATTTATGTTTCAGTAAATCTGCCAATTAGATTTGATTATTTTAATGAAAAGTGCTGTTTTTAAATTCAAAATGATCTTTATGAAAGTTACAGAGGTAATTTTTGTTTCTGTATGTTAAGAAAACAATATTATTTTTACAGAATTCAAAATTATGCTAGGTGCTTTTCTAATAAATAGGAGTTATGTATATGCTGTTAATTATTTTTTAAACAGCTAGAGGGCTTTGATTTGCTGACAATGTCACGCTCCTTTCACACCAACACGAAAGCATGGAAGAAAAGGTCTCAACACTAGACAACACTGCCTCAATGACTGGACTAAGCATTAACAAGGGAAAGACCAAGACAATGAGGATCAACCAGTCCAACAACACCACCATCACACTGGGAGGGGATGACCTGGAAGATGCGGAGCAGTTCATCTACTTGGGGAGTATTACGGGCAGAGTCAGAGGAACAGATAAGGATATCAGTGCTAGGATAGGAAAAGCAACAGCTGCATTCAAGACTCTTTGTCCCATATGGAGTTCACAAATAATATCTGCGAAGACGAAAATGCGAATCTTCAACACAAATGTGCAGAGTGTGCTCTTGTATGGATGTGAGACTTGACATACTGAAAATCTTCAAAATCACAAGCTACAGACATTCATAAACAGATGCCTGAGATGCATCCTTACATCAAATGGTAAGACTTTGTCACAAATGAGGAGCTTTGGAACAGAGCAGGAAAAGAACCACTTGCTGTTCAAATCAAGAGAAGACAGTGGGAATGGCTAGGCCACACTCTCAGAAAACCATCATCTGGCATAGTCCGTTAAACTCTCACATGGAACCCGCAAAAGAGGAAAACCTCAGACAACGTAGAAAAGATCTACTGAGACTGAAGGACAACAACTTCGGTACTCCTGGAGTCAACTAGAAGTTTTATCTCAAGACAGAGTGAAGTGAAAGAGACTTGTAGATGACCTATGCTCCACTCAGAGTATAAGGTTTAAGTAGTAAGAAGAAGAATATGTATACCGACCTTACATCACAGAAAATCCAGGACAGTGCTAAATTTAAATGCTTTGTCCCGGTGTCCCCATCAAATGTCCTGAAAAGCCCTTTTGGAGAAGCAGCAAGCTAGGAATAGCTCAGTGTACTGCCATTTATTTCCCTTCCAACAGCTGGCAGAGTTTGCAAACACTCACCCCCTAGCATGGTGCAGCAGCAACACTCCTCCTCCCCTCTCCCCACACCTCTCACAGAGCATGAAGGTGGCTCCTTGCCTTGGCGCTTTGCCTGCAGGCAACTGAGGTACCTTCTGGAGTTTCCCGCGTTCCAGCACGTCACCTGGCGAGCCCCCACCAACCCCTGCACCACCAACATACACCATGCAGCCCTCTCCTCCCATCCCTCCTCCCCCCCATGGGACTGACTCTGTCATACAGGGCCCCCGTCTGGCCATGTTACTTCTTCCTTTGTTACAGTGGCCACCGTCACTGCTGCTGCCAGGGAGAGGGGTACCAGGCAAGTCCATGGCAAAAGGCGCCCAGGAGCTGCAGCCAGACTTCTGTGCTTTTGAGCTGTTGCCTACACCCCGGCAGGGGCCATGCGGAGCCCAGCTGGGGCACTGTGACCCCCTTGGGGAGCACTTGGGCTCAGCAGGTGTGCTAGGTGCACTGCCACTCTCTGTCGCCCACTGCAGGAATAGCAGCACATGGAGCCGCTCGCTCTCTGCAATCTGCTTTGGTGGGGTCAGGGTTTTCTTCCTCCCACTCCGTGCCTCCGCGCAGGAAGCTGGAGTTGGTGTGCGGGTGTCCTGCTACATGGGGAGGGGGGCCTGAGGCTCCTTCCCACCTCGCTGGGGGAATGGCAGCGCTCTGCCCAGAAGCTTCCCATGCTGCAAAGGGGCATGAAGCCAGGTAAGTGCCCCCCTTATGCCCAGACTCTTGCACCCTAATCCCTCTCACTCGCTCCCCTCACCCTGCCAAGACCCTGCACACTCAGCTTGCTCCGACACCTTCTCTTGCTCCTGCACCCTCCCTCTTGGCCAGACATCCCACTCCCAGCCGGCTTCTGCTCCCTCCACCTGGCCAGACATTCTGCATCCAGCCTCCTTCTGTACCCTACCTCCCACCAAGACCTTGCAACCTTTCCTCTTCCGCACCCCATCTCCCTCCCTGGATCCTGCACTCTCATCCCTATCCCACTCACTGGCAGCCCATCCTCACACACAGAACCCCTCATTTTTGTCCCTACCCCAGAGCCTGAGTCCATAAAATCCACTAACTCTGGAATCCCAGAAAAGTAAATCTGGTTTCTTCTTCGAGGGTCCCCGTGGGTGCTCCACTTAGGTGTGTTAGCACCGCTGTGCACCAGATCGGTCATTTTCATTAGCAGTCTCCCAGCTGCCAGCATGTGCCACACTATTGTGCAATCAGCCCAGATGACAGTTGAGCACATGCCAGCGGCCGTTACCTCAGTTCCTTCTAAACCACCACCGTCATTGGTTTCACAATCCTTAGTCTCCTGTGTTCTGTAATGTTTTCCTAATAAAACTGAACAAACTCATAGTTAGAAAATGAAGACAGTTCCTAAGGAAAACTTATATTGTTGTGATGAAAGTGTTACAGCTGCCATCAAAGGTTTTTTTAATCTATAATCACAAAAATTAAACACCTCTGCCTTTGCTTTCTAATAGCCAGGGCTCGACAAACTATACAATCTACTCGCCTGTGGCGAGTAGATTTCAGCCACGCGCCCCATTCATTCACGGCATGCGCATGTGCAATGTGGCTCTTGCGCATGCACAGTACGGGGCTGGCGAGCGGTTTTCGCCGCCGTTTGTCAAGCCCTGCTAATAGCCAACATTTAACCTCCACTTTCTGACAAGTCTTACAGCACGAGAACTTAAAGGATACCCTGAACTTCTTATCCAGCAGATAATGAGTAACATGCCTCAACAATGCCTGAAATCACAAAAACCACTGTGGAACATACAGGATTGTTTCACGTCTTTGGATCTGGTCAGGGAACAGAAAATATCTGGACCTCATTTGCCATTTCACATAAGCACATTATTACTAATCTAACAAGCTACCCTTTGAGTTTTGACCAGCCATGCAGGCTTTGGACCACACTGAACTGCATCCAATAATCTATAGATCAGTGGTCATCAACCAGTAGGTCGGGATCTACTGGTAGATCTTGGAACCTCTGACATTATCTTGACTGGTTTGGCCAAGGGGCTATCAAGTGCTGGCACCTTAGCTGCCCCTCCCCCTACTGCTGCACATTTCCTGCCCTTTGCCTTGGAGCTGCCTCCCCCTGTGCCTAGGAGCCTCCTGCTTGCTGGGCAGGGCAGGGCAAGGACAGGAGGGGTGTTTATGTCAAGGTGCCCCATCTCCCACCCTGTATCCTATCTCCACAGAGCAGAGAGGGGGCACAATAGGACTTGGGATTGAGTCTGCTGGATGCTTTTGGGAGTGGTGAAGGGCCAGAGCAGGGGTGAACCTGCCTTAGCCCCATTGCACCACCACCCAAGAGCCACCTGA